TCCAGCTGTCACGACATGTCAGAATTCAAAGGCCGAGTTGATTCTGAGACAAGAGATCAAGCACTAAAATTCAAGGTTCATTCTTAGGTTTGCTTAAGTGGACTCAGGGTAAGTTATAATACTTCCTGAAACATCAGAAATATCAGGGTTAAATATCTCTACAGACAAGAAAAAAGTTAGTTTTCAGACAAATTTCCTGGTAGCAAAGGTGGATACATTTCAAATTCTGCATACAAAATCAAGTCTCTTGTCATACATTTGTAAAGATTATGGGGATCATGTCCTTCTCTCAGTGGAAAATAAATCCATGAAAGTTCCTTATACTGCTTACCATAAGACTGTTTACAAAGGAATAAAAATTATTTAGCTTCGTTCTTTTAGTCTTAGATAAAGGAACAATATGGCAAAAAAGTTCACTGTAGCAATACTTATTATTGAATGACCAGACAGTGGGTTGCTGTTCATTTTCCTGTGTACAAGCAGTCACCCTCCTCCTTTTTGATACTCTTCCTTTAGCCATTCAGAAGGAGCCCAGCTATATCTAGCAATTTACTCCATATCAGTCACATTCAACTAAGCATGAGAAAACAGCAAGAAAAAAAAATTGGGGGGCATTTTAATTAGCAGTTCAATGATCCTAAACTCACTGATTGGCATTCTATAGAGTAGTTTAGACTGTGTACAGCTTTAGTAGACTTCTCTGTAGTCATATATTGGTCCTGCTCCACACTATCAGTACTTTTTGATATTAGATAAATATTATGTATCTCTTATGATCTTCTTGCACCACTAAGTGAAAAGCAGAGATTTCAGGAATTAGGATTACCACTTTCCCTGACTGGTTGTACCTTGTTCCCTATTTATATTATGGAAAACACAGGCATGGTTTGAACACCAGTGTTCAAATTATTCATCAACAGCTTTTGATGTTTTGACATTTTGAAATTTTAACCCTGTTTGTGCTATTGTATTTAATGTACTGTGTGAAATTCTTGGTCACTGACTTTTCATTCAAAATTTGCTTCCCATGGTGGGTACACAAGGCACTTTTTTCTCTCTGACAAGGTAACAGACATTTTAAAATTAAAGAACAGATATGATGGCTAGCAAATACTTTGTTCTTACACAGAAACACAGATGACCACCACAGGAATAGTTGTGAATATCACACAAGAAAGAGCTTGTAACAGTTGAACCAAAATACTTGCTGGGAACCTGAAGATCTCCATACCTTCTGAGCCATTAACCATCCTTCCATCCAAGTCACAGTGTGCATTTCCCCTTACCAAAGCATGCACCACAATATGGTGGGTTTATTCAAAGGAAAAGGAAAATGTCATTTCTGCTGAACAGATTTATAGTGGTGCAGACAATGTTAATGATGAGGATTGTCTGTATGATGGTTTGGAACATAAATTGCTGCCTGTGGCAGTGAGGAAGTCATTCACCTCATTTCCTGCACAAAATCGAATTCATCTCAGCATATGGTGGGATTTTTTTATTGGGTGGCTTAAAAGAGAGTAAAAATTTGCTTCCTTCTGAATCACTAGGCTACATAGCTAGCTTGATTAATGATGATAAATCCCAGTTAATGAAATTACAGCAGTATTAAACAATGCTGTTACATAGGTAATATATTGCTGACACTTTCACCAATATTGTTTGCAGCAGACTGATATATTAAGAGAAAATAGCACTAGATCATGCAGACTGGCACTACTTGAGTAATGCAAAATTTCAATGCTGCAGACCATATCACACAAAAAAACCCCCAAACTTGTCTGACCTCTGGTAACCATCCCATGAAGTAGGATTTTAATGACAGTATTTCTGTGAGTCACTGTCACAGCTCTATGATCCAGACTTGTGACAATCACATTTCTTCCCTTCCTTTGCCCGTGCACGCATGAAAAGCAGGACACGAAACTTCTGATAACCGCTTGAAGATTTTCCAGATACCAAATGTCAGAGGACATTGCCTGTAAACTTGACAGGCACCCAAAACACATAACAGGCTAAAACAGTCCCATAAAGAGTGTAAATGATGTTTGTACATTTTGGTAAAGCAGGAAGTTATGAAAGTAATTCTCTTCAGTAAAACAATTTCTAGCTGTTTCAGAATCAGAAGGTGAAATTTTTCATACTAGAAAAGGCAATAGAAAACACTAGAACTGATGGTGGGGGGAGGAGAGGAAGGTGAGTTTTAATGCTTACATTTGGAAGAAGAACAGAAAGGGATAAATAAGACTTTTAAAACACTTTTTTGTGTGGCAGAAAGTGAATGTATCCGTACATACACAGATAGAAAAGGATAGAAAAGTCTTCTCTTCTGGAAAATCCATTACAAACCAACTACTGAATTTCATTACAAAAGGAAAAAGAAATTGGAGAAATTCACATTCTAAAAAAAAGCCATACCAGTCTATTATTTGTAACTCACTTTCTGCTGAGCTGCACATGTACTGCTAAGGTGTTGAGCAGAGGTACAGAGCTTTCACCATTTTCAGGTCCTGAAGAGTCAATAAAATAGAGTAGTTTCTACTTAATTCATACCATAGGTGCAAAGTATCACAAGATTATCCTCCAGAGAGAAGAATCTTGAGTATTAAATAGGAGCCTTTTAATAGGAAAACAGCTTTTGACTCTCTGAGTATAGCCAGATGCCTAGAAGATAAACAATGGCAGTAAAGCCAAAGATATCTGTTTTGAAATAGATCAGCTGATAAACAAATCTTCCCTGATTTCAGTAGGCAGGAGCCTACATTCATCAGATCTCTGCCTTCCTTCTCATGCCAGTGAGTTCATAATACTTGAACAGCATTTGGAATTTAATGTGTTCTGTTCTGATATAGGTGGAGACTGAATCAACTGAATTACCCTGGTTTTACAGCAGAGTAATTATTATCAGACTCTGGCTTCATGTTTCTAAATATTTTAATATTTTATGAATATAAGAGATAAGACAGTCTGCTATATTTCAGCTGCTAAACTATTTTTTTCACTGGGGTCTCAATGATCCCTTCTTAAAATTAGTCCACTGGTTGATTTGTATTCCACAGAGTGCTCATTACAGCTGCCATTAGTGCACAAAATCCCATGAACATATAAAATTACCCTAAAAATTGGTAATTTCAACCTTTCATTAGAAGGTTGAAGTCAGTCAAACACTAAGTAATTAAGACAATTTACTGTAGCGTGACTATGTTTTCAATATGCTCCCACAGGAAATACCATAGGAGATATTTATAATAAAATTTTCTTAAGAAGCTTTCTTTTGCTTTGTACTGTTTTGGAGATGGAATTGCTGAGATCGTGGCACTTGAGTCTGAGCATCCCCCAAGAGCTTTACACTGCCAGTCCATTTGCAGCTGTTTTGACAATTTTGCAGCAATTGAGCATCACCAGTATCACTTCGAGCCAGTAGTCCTGTTTAACAAAAGCCCAGTAAAGTCACCTCAGTTTGGGGTTGTGTTAATTGCCCTTGGAGACTCTAGAGGGTACAGGTACAGGAAGCCTGCTTTGCTGTTGGGTTTATTTTACTTTGTTATTTGGTTTATTTTCTTCACTATTACCTGCCCTCACTGCTCACAGATTTCTGGACCCTTGAAGGGTGCTCTTTAAATATATTGCATTATTTTTATGTGCAGACAAAGACAATTAGATGAAGCCACAGTTTCATTTCCTTATAGTGGCCAGAAAGTAGAGAAGAAACCTGGGGAATATACAGAATGTTGGATTAGCCCCTGCTGTAGGCTATAAAGACAACAGATATTCCAGAACTATGTTGATTAGTAATTAGCACAAAGCAGATGGGAAATCATGCTGTCTCCCCAGGAAGTTAATGCAAACTAGTTACAGTATTTATATGATGTTGAGACTACCCTGCTAAAATGTGTTTTAAATAAATAGCAAAACTGAAATTATCTTGACATTTCAGTTAAATATAGGTAAAACCAAATATTGAATTAGAAATTAGCTTCGAGTTTATGCTGAAAAGAGATCAAGACTTCTCTATATTAATAAATAATCATTCTAGGGTTTAAATCCTATTTATTTTTACAATATGTTTTTAAAGACATCTAATTTAAATCTAGGCTTACTTGCTATTTCTTAAGAGAGCTAAATATGCTGGTACTCACTACAGACCTTGACTATGATTAATGAGAGATTTCATTCTCAACTTGACTGGCACACTGCTACCATATATATCACAGAACCTTGTTTACTTTTGTTATCCAAAAGATTGGATGTTCAGATAATTGCAACTCTAAAGGCTAAGGAATTTGGGCTACTTTGCAAAGCTGTTTTGAGGTGATCCCATAAGACAGACTAGGAACTCCCTGCTTTTATTTCTGTCTACCATATCAATCCTGTAATAAATATGGAGAAATATGCTCTCTGGTTAGGAGGACACAGAAATTTTGGGGATGAGTGGTTGAATAATACATGTGCTGCTTATGGGAGAAGAATAATCAACAAATATGCTTTAATGTGGGAATAACTTAAATGAGTACTTCAGATACCAAGTCTAACATGCATGACTGTTGGCCTGTCAAGACTGTAATAAATTCCCAGTAACAAGAGAAATTGGAAGACAGGATGAAATATTTCATATTTTGTGAACTTTGGAATATAAGGCTTCCTCAAATTTCATCCTCATCTAAAAAAAAAAAAAAAGAGTACACATGAGGGTTGTGTTGGATAAAGCTTTTGTTGTTTTGATACAAACAAGTTTTGCAAAACGAGTTATGGTTTATGGACTAAAAATACTTACTACATACATGCATACAAATGTCTTCCAGGACTTCAAAAGAAATATAAAACTACGCTAATAGAAGAATCAAAAAAAGGTTTTAAAGTATCTTTTTCCTAATAGGCAGTGAACTTCCTACCTGATATAAGAATCAGATCCATCCTCAAACCATAATAAACTAGAATAAACTTTCAAGAACTGCTTATTTTTGTATACAATCGTTTCTCTTTCACAGATTACTTCAAAGAGAATGATCAGAGTGATCCTGAACCCTCAGGAGACAGCACCAGATACTATCCATCTATTAAGAAACATTTTGAGGAGAAAAAAAGTGGGTCATCATCTTTTGTGTCCTCCATTGAAGATGAGCAAAAGCCCCTGTTCTCCGGGATAGCTGATTACCCATCTGTAACAGAGAAAACCACAGAGATGGACTTTGAAGAAATGGATCATGACACAGAAGAAATTCTTACTGACAAAAGAAGCAGTTCTTGCAAAGGTAATCCAATTATTCCTATTTAGTAAAGTTTGAGCAGACATCTTTCCAGTCTGATTAACAAAAATAGTTTTCTGAATGGTTCTCTTGATTCTTTACATAATATTTACTCCAAAAAGCTTACAAAAAAATCTTAGACCAAAAAAAATTCTTTTTCATGAGGATTAATATAGTTTAATTCAGTGGGAACTGGATTACAGTTCTGTGGGACTGGCTTGTAGAAACTCCAAAAGATCATTCTAGATTTTGCTACAAATCATCTTGTAACTGAACTATCTAAGTAGTTTAAACAGAATTGTCCACTGGTGTTGGGCTTCACTGAGTGCTCCTTGATGATATCTGCAGTGAAAGCAGTACAGTATCTCCCAAACAGTGTTTGATGTGCCAGGGTTGGATGACAGTAAAAAGTTATAGATAATGAGAGCTAGACTAGCTAAACCTAGTGATAGTTGCACATGCACCAAAAATATGTTTTCAGATAACTAATTTAATTTATTGCATTGATAAGGCACAACAAAAATTAAGTGAAAAAAATAATAATAGCTTGAAAAAATGCTATCCTGTTTTGTTGCACCCATTGGTTAAAGGAGTGCAATTATGCTACACAGAAAAAAATAATGACTTCCATAAGTAACACAGGAGAATAAAGATTTGAGCATTTGTGTATGACAAATGATCAGGAGCTATTAAGCAATCTCAGATACTTTTACATAGAGTTAAATCACATAATTAAAATTACATCTAATATACTAAAATATTAATTTTCTCAGTGATGTGAAAGGAAATTAATGAAAAACCCTATATTAATATACAATTTAAATATCACTGCAAGTTCATTTGTAATTCTTTCAGTCTGAAGGGAAGAATTACATATTTATTGTTTAATGCTGTTTTCCTCAAGGGTTTCCATTGAGACAATTTACCCATTTAACCATCATTCAATAAACTTTAAGCTTTTAGGTTATCATTTTAAATAAACCTAATGATTAATCAGACCACACAATGATTTTAACATCTCAGAGGTATGAATATGTGAATTCTGGTCTCTTCAAGTTAAGGCCCTATAAATCTGCACCACATAAACTTGTTGCATACATACATACATACAAACCTTTCCTTTCCCCTACTAATAGCCAAAAATGTGTCCTTGCAGCTATAGCAACATTTTCCAAGGCAACCTATTGCAGATTTTATCCGAGCTAAATTTAGTATATCTAAAGGTTACATATTTTGATTAAGACCACACTCTTTTCCCTACTTTGTAATTTAACACTTCTCGTAATGTTATGCAAGGTAATGAACTTCCTTGCAAAAAACAAAAGCATAAAACCTTCAAGGTCGATAAGATTAGCTTTTCCTGATATATGTTTTAAACTAAATTCTTACTTCTGCTATTAGAGATTAGTTATAACTTATCATAAGAGTAGTTACAAACATGACAAACTTCTGAAAAAAACTCAGCTTTTATGTATCCTCAAATATCATGGCACCTTATAAATCTTGGATACAAATGCACTTGTATAAAGCTGTTCCAATTCATTACCACTGTGACTGATACATATTTAATTATTTTTGTTTTGTTGTAAGCTTTGGTCATTACTTCGATGAATGGAAAGACAATTAATAATGTATTGTATAATTTGTCAGAAACAATATAAACATTTCTTTCAAAATCCTAGAATGCAACTTTTAACTTTTGAACATATGGCTCTTTTGTGAAGACCTGAGAATTTTTCTGTAATTGTTAATTCTATGTAAAAGAAAAATACTGTATTCACTTGGACATTATTTGGGCTAAAAGACTGATTCTTCAATTCTTCTGGTGAACCTAGTTATACACTCACTGACTTAGTTCTCAGTCTAAGATTCTTCAAGCCCTGGAAGACCAGAGTTGGTTATAAAGTTGTAGCTGCGATTGGCTTTTCTGGGGTTACTGTTGAATATGGAATACCCGAAAAGACACTTAGATGAATAAAACAGCATAATTTATAGAGTATCAACTTGTTTATGGTGTGTGAACTTATATTGTCATTTCAGTGCCAAATCATTTGCTTTGCCACAAATTAAGCATCTATTACAATAGTTTCCAAATAGATATCCTGGGACAAAAACCAGCTGTGATTTCCCTGCGATAATCCATGGCATTGAAAATCTGTGATTTTAATGAATGACTTATTGTGCAAAATAACAAACATCTTTTTTTTTACAAGATCCATGTTTTTAGAGGACCAATTGAAAAAAGCAGTAAAATGCTCTTGAAATTCACTACTTATAAGTCTACTGGATTCACAAAACCCATTGCACCTAAACTCATAATTTGAAACTTTACCCCATAATTTTTCATAGTATGCTCCATTCAGTTTGCTGAGAGATTTCCAGCTTTTCCTTAGACACTGCAAATTGTGCCATGTCTGCCTCCTAAAACCAAATTACATGCTTCTGTGACACCCTTTATCTCTCTCTTTCTGGCTTAAGTTCCTGAGAAGCAAAACAGGTTTCTGTGTAGCCAAGATGAAATCTTCCTATTCCTTCTGCCCAGTATATAAAATCAGTTATAAGTGGTCACATGAAATTCAAACACTCTGTACAGCTCCAGGAAACCTTCTACCACCTGCTAACCAAAGATCAGATAATGCTATAACGACCTTTGTCTGATAAAAACAACAACAGGAAAAAAATGAAGAGAGAAGAAAGTCTCCCCTTACACTTGGAATCATGTAGTGAGAGCTCCCCTGCCTGGTTAAATCCACTTGAAATACTGAATCTGAGTGGGAACTTCTTTTTTTTTTTTTTTTCTCCTTTACTAAGGGAAACACTGCTCAAAGACATATTTGAAAAGGATTAGCTATTAGCATTTGGACAAGGCTCTTACATGTCACCTACACTGTGGGGTTTTTTTCTCTTCTCTTTGAAACATGGCTCTAGCTGCTATGGTTGCTTAGAAAAATTTCACAAGTGTGAAATGAATGTAACCTATGCTGAGTTAACAGCATGCAGTGCCAAGAGAAGTGTAAGGGGAAGCTCTGAGCAAATCATTCAGAGACTGATGTGGGATTCAAATCCGACTGCAGATGCTTTATAAGCAGTCAAGGATTTTGCCCAGCTGTATGCTGAAGGAACAGCCTGGGTGAAATAAGAACTTTAATATGTTCTATAACTTCATGTAGTTAAATAATTACAAATACAACACTAATGGGAATAGTATTGAGCAGATGTTAAAATTTAAACAGCCTTTATTTATCACATCAAAGAAGAATGACTGATATTGACCAATTTTGACTGTTTACATGATGGATTAACTCAAAGTAAACTAAGGCTATAGGGGGCAGGGTGAGCTGTAGAAAAAGCACTGTTCAACCTAAGTACGTCGCCTGTAGGCTCTGCAAAGGTCACAGCAAGATCTTCATTCTATACTTGATAAGTGCAACAAGTATCTTTTATTATAATTGATGTGTATCCTTTCAACAGCTTGGTGAACAAGAGAAATGGCATAGCGCCAAGAATGCAAACTAATTAATAAAATGACAGATGGGTAAATTAAGTAATCTGAGAGAGGAAAGAGAAATAGCCCAAACCAGAAGTCCAACCCAAAGGAAAGGTTCCCTGAGCTCTGTTTGGTAGTCATGTGCAGTGCTCGGTCACACGGTCATGGAGATCCAAGAACAGGGAGGGTCAAGTGGGATGAAATTTGGGCACAGCAGGTATAGGGTGAAACCTGGAATAATAATATTTTTTTTACAAAGGGCTGGAGGTAAAGAAATAAATGTAAATTACTCATATGGCAAATCTTTTTAGATACTTCATGTTTACCATGATGCTTCATTCAATATCAAAGTGATATCTGTCTGACCCAGAAATTCTGACTATTTCGTTCTTTTAGGAGTCTGAAATCATTAAACAAAATGAACAGGCACCTTTCACCCCACAGTACCCTAAGAATTTCAGAGATGTGCTTTACACAGGGATATACGGATTGGGTGGGAGAGTAGTGATGCTAAAAGCTACATCAGTGAAAATCAATTTCTTTTATGAGGATAATAAGCAGTACCCTTTCGCAATTGAATGGCCCTTGTCTCAGAGAAAACATATTACACTTCACCAACCTAAGACAAGTAGTGTTACAGTAATGGGTGAGAAAGGCAGCTCCCTGAGGCCTGGCACTTTTCTCTAGAGGGAACATTCCAATGCACTGCACCACATGCCCAGTGCTGCAAATTCAATGCAGCAAATCCTTCTTTTACACCAAAGAGCTAAGCAGTGAATACACTTCAATAGCACATTCAAGGGCAAGAGTAGACATCTTAGGCCTCTGAAGTGCACTATCAAAGACATTCAGGTGCATCATTTAATGCCTTTAGATTAGAAAAATAATTTCTATTTTCAATTAATAAAAAATTGTTAAAAAAAAGCACTTTGAGAAAATTTGGGATCCATTTGTAAAATAATAGAAATAAAACTAAAGAGAAGCCATTCAGTGGCAGAACTCTGATGATGCTGACTAGAAAAAGCTGCTTGTTTATCTGCAGCTTCAAAATGTATGTATGTATTTGACCACTTTTATCTTTCCTTAAGGTAAGAAACAAAGAAAGATGTTCAGTTTAATGTTCAATTTAACTTTCAATGTTTTGAGAAACTGAGTAAGTGGTATGCTTGAGAAGTGCCAACCCCTCTCTAACTCGATGTATAAAATCTATACTTTCATACATTTTGTTTTTCATCAGACATCAACAAAAGAAACTGGGAGCAGGAGAACATCCAGGAATACCAGGACTCCCCAGTTCAACCAGCATTATCCCATGTTACATGGGGAATCTGTGAAACTGAAAGTGATTTTATATACGGGGAAGTGGAGAATCGATTAGATTTACTTCAAGAACAACTCAACAGGTAAAAATAAAGAGAAAAAAATCTATGTGTGAAAGAGTACATAATACAACTGATACCGATGATGTTACAGGACGAATGAGTTTGTGCAGGAAGTTTCCAAAAGCATTCAGATCTTTGAGAGCTCAAAAATACAAAAATATGCCTGATGAGAATATCACCTTTTTCTCTGAAGTTATTCTGAGGAGCCTGTATATCACCTAAGTTAAGCTTTCCAGAATCTTGGAAAAACCAGTTCTGGGAAATTTGGGTTCACAATTTTTGAACGTTGCCAGAATATTCATGTCTTTTACCTCTGGGTATGCACATTAGCTACTCTGAATGGCTTTGCAGTACAGCCCTTTTTCTCACTGTTTTGGACCATCTGTTTGACCAAAAAGTTGTACTGAGACACCTCAAATTGTTAAATTTAAATCTCACCTCACCAAGAGTGCCATTCCTAGACCATAGAACCATCAAACAATTTGGGTTGGAAGGGACATTAATGATCACCTATTTCGTATCCCAGCATAAAATGGCAATTTTCAGTATCTTCAAGATCTGAAGTACTTTTTCTTTCCTGGAGACTCAAAGTGCACCAGCTTCCTGCTTTATAAAATGTATTGCAGATGAATTCCCTTTTTGATGCATTAACTTTTTTTGCAACTCTATAATAGGTAAGGCATGGGAGTTTATAAAGGCACAATACTTAAACCTGTTACAACATTAAAATTTCTTTGTCAGAGTCCAATATCACCTTTGCTTATATATTACTCTTTACTGGCAGCTAAGCAGCATACCTTAGAGCTGGTTACACAGTTTTGATCCATTCTGCATTGTAATTTACCATGTAACTTCACTTAATTTTAAATTGCCCTATGCTCAGGACCATGGCTTTTTTTCATTATTTTCACTCTGTAATTCCATTAATTTCAATATTTTTCCATGATGAATACTGTGACACGCACTCAGTCCTAATTATACTTTAGTAGCTATCCACTGGCATTCTGTGCTGTATATTTTAGCAATCAATTTAAAGCCAGGTTAACTGCATATTGATTCCTTCGTCCACCAGAAGTCAATCAAAAAAGAGTACTTTTCATTCCTGAATATGACATAATGCATTAAAAAGACATTTTTAACACTTAACCCTAAACTGCTGTAATTTCTAATTACATTAAAGTCAAGTAATCTAAGTAACTGTAAATGTCACATAACTAAATGCCTGCAGGATCCCCATCAACAGTATGTAGTCTTTTGGTAACATTTCATTCCTGGAACTTAAATCCCTCAAAACTGAAGTTACCCAAAGTTTTATCATGCAAGTTCTCAGTATTTTCATCGATCAGACAATTGTTGCTGACAAACTGAGAATTAAAATGTTATGTATTTTTTAAAATTACTTTATTCTTTAACTCTTCTCATGTTTTTAAAGCTCTTCATGCTTTTGGGATTTGGGACCTTGCTGGGTTTTCTATAAATATAACAGACAATATCCTTTCTTGCCTTTGTCACTTCTGACTTGCTAGCTTAAAAACCATGGTCACTTCTCCCTGAATTTTTCCATGTCAAGTTAGAGGCTTCGTATAACACTCAATTAGTAAATAGACATAGAGGGCTGGAAAGCCACTGTACAAGGAATATGTGCCTAGAATTATCTGTTTCTCTTATTTAAGCAATTGGAATTTCATGGAGATTATAGGCCAAGCATTTAAGGTTCTCCTGTTTGTTTGGGTAGCATGGATTTTTTTTACATTTTGGAGAATGGATGATGAACCTTTATATGCAATGATGATTCATTTGAAGTACAAGGAAACTTTCCTTGTACACTCTTTCATTTGAAGTACAAGGGAACTTTCAAGGACTAACAAAGTAAGAGGGGAGCAATTTTAGAGTTAATTCCATGTGAAAAATCATCTTGAATGCACATCCTCCAATGCTACGTTTTATTCACTGAGGTGTTAAGGCCCAGGTTTAGCAGATGGAAGTTCTCTGGATGGTGGCATGCTGCTGTTCCTGCAGCATTTCCCCCTGTGGCATCAGCACCATGCTTGTGTGAGAGCAGTACATTTGCAAGTAGCAAGGAACTCAAGGGAGCTGACCAAGAGGGCAAGTAGGGCACATCTGATTCTAACAGAAGTCTGGGTTTGGGCCTTTTTTTCTGAGAGCTGATGCCACAAAACCAGCTTTTCCTGATAAAGGAAGAAACAGCATCCCAAATACACTTCGGTCATACCTTTTGGATTAATTTCACAGGTGCTTTTATAAATAAATGATACAGACAATGGACAGCTCCAACAGGATAAAAAATAACATCAGTGCAGCATGTGGCAAAAGCAAAAATCTGACAGCACGGGATCAATTGTGCTACTGTAGGGACCCCAAGTAGTAACACTGACAACATTAAAGGCTGCTGACAAAGATTTGTTTACTCTGTCAGAAGCTCAGTTGCTGTACAGAAGGCTGTATTATCTGCATTACCATCTGTCAGCGTGTGCTGTAGCCTTCCAGCAGCTGGGAAGGTACAATAGGCATTACCTTTCCCTGTGATTGTCACAGATTTTGGCAAGACCATTTAAAAATCATTTCAGTGCTATGGAATTGTAAGTATAAACAACATAATCAGCTCAAGTGTTTCAGAAGTCATATACAAATCTATGAAAAGGCAAAAAAATTTAAAGGTACAAAATTTGAACATTAGAAATGCTGACATTAATTCTGAGATCTGCATAAGTTTGCATAAGTAATGAGAATTAGGCAGTTGTATTTTTAATGGTTTTGGAAACATCTTTCTTTTTCTAACTGTGGAAAAACACAAATGTGGTTTCTGCTTAGTTCAGTGCATTGTATCAGCATGTCAGAATTCATTGTCAGATGCATCAAAATAATGTCTCATGACCAGCCAGCACAAATCAATTTAGTTACAGCGAAGAGAATACATTTATTCCAGTTATTTTCAGCCAGATACCCAGTCTCCCGCGTTGCTTCTTGTTGCAAACCTAAGGCACAGCGATAGATTCATTCTCAGTGTAGCAAAAACCCGAGAAAAGCTCGCAGGAATGTTCTGCAAAGGAAAGGGAGAACCAGAAGCCTTGGAAGGGCTGTGTACTCCCTCTGCTGTTCTCTCCTATTTAATACATGGTCATGCCACAACAATGGTTTTACTGGTAAACTGCAGGTCCCCTTGAACGCCTCTGCCCATGAGCTGATTTCATGTTCCCTCTCTAGGCTTGAATCACAAATGACTGCTGATATCCAAACCATCCTGCAGCTTCTGCAAAGGCAGTCAGCACTCATTCCACCTGCCTATAGCATGGTGACAGCAAGTGCAGAGTATCAAGAGCCAGCAGTCCGAGTCATAAAAAAGTTTCAGCCTGCAGCATCAATTAAAACAGACAGAAGTTTCAGTCCTTCATCTCAGGTAAGTGCATGTCCAATAAGATAAAAAGATGTTTCCTAGTCTTTTTGTCTTACGAGGAAGAAATGCATACCAATCTAGGTGCTTGATCAGTAGTTTAAAGAATATGAAATTATTATTTTGACCTAGCGTCTCCACAGTGGGCTTAGACACTGCAGTTTCAGAGGTCACATTTTCTATGGGATTCGTAGAGATTCATACAATGATCTTATAATCAGACAGATTTACTTTATTGTCATTTTTTTCACAAAGTTAGCAGAAAAGGAATCCAAGTGGTTAGAATTATGCAATTCAGAATTATGCAATTCTGGAGTTATGCTCTAAAACAGAACTTCATATTCAAGAATTTTGAGATCCATACTCTTAGTCTGGGTCTCAAGAGTAATCAGTCCTTTAGAAAGGGCTGCTTATATGTATATCTCAATGTCATATTAGCAAATCTGAGGGGAGGAAAAGATATCCAGACTTCTACAATTAATCAGCAGAATTGCATTCAATTACATTAAATCAAATGCAGTACCATGTAAAAAATATTTCAGTGCACTGTTTAATTTTCAAAAATGGTTTTCCATCAACCATCTGAATGTGCTAATTTTGAACAGAACAAGGGCCTGGAAGAGACCAATGTAATTATTACCATCTTGTTTCTTCTCTTCCCTTACAGTGTCCTGAAATTTCAGATGTTGAAAAATCAAAACTTAAATCCAAAGAATCCTTCTCAAGTGGAGTGCATCTGAACACAGCCTCAGAAGACAACCTGGCTTCTTTTTTAGACCAAGAACATGACCAGTCTGTAGAGCGTCCCCCACAGCCTTGTAAAACTTCTCTCCCACCAATTAGGCACCCTTCCTTGCCAGAATCTTCACTAAGCACTGTAGGAGTCTTGAGTCTTCATAGGCATGTTTCTGATCCTGGTCTTCCTGGGAAATAGTACTTTTATACTATTACTTCACATAAAAATGTAAGTGCTTTTAATGGCTGTTTCTCCTTTTTTTCTTTTTTTTTTTTTTGTATTTAAATCCTCTATACTTGACTCAGGGGCTACAAGGAATATACCATTATATGCAAAAGTACTGTATATTTTCCTAAATCTGAAGCTTGTAAGGTAAAGTTGAGCAGTTCTGATGTAAATATATATATATATATACACACACTAACTGTATGTTCCAAATGTAAAACTGCCAGCATTCTCAAGGCACCTTATATTTTTATTTTTTTTTAAATAACATGCATGTTCTGAAGTTACAGTTTACATTGCATGGAGATTACCATTTACTGCTGTCATGGAAATAGTATTTTATTGTGGATATGTCTTCAGAGCAAATAGGAGACCAATAACAATAATTCACATAGAAAAACTCCTACCTGACCAAGCTAAAATTCAAGAAAAATGCTCTTCTAGCTCACTCTTGAAAATTGATTTATCTTTCTTGTTGTGAGCTGTTTCTAATAAATCACAATGAGACTGAATCTAAAGAAAGAATAAGGTAACCATGTCTTCTGTTCTTGAAACAATTAGGACAGAGGAAACATCCTCCTTCCAAACTAGTTGAAGTAGGGCAGTATTTTAACAGAGAGGAAAGCTGCCATATGGTGGAAAGTATCACTGTAGGTCACATCCACAAAACTGCATTAAATTGAATCATTTGTTTCCACCACATATTGGGTTTTGAGTTTTGTATTTTTTTTTAATTGCATCATAGAATTCAGCTGTGATGAGCAGACAGGTACTCTTCCTCTGTCACACAAACATAATCAAATGCAATAAACCTAATTTCTATGTAATGCAGAAGACTGTGTTCCTTTTGTTCAATACAAATTGTTAACGATCTGTTTTAATTTAAATATATTTTACACATTTTTGTTTAATAATTATTAGGGTGGCTGTCTGCAGTTACCTCTTTGTACTGACCGGCCCCTCTGCAATGCTCATACACACACACCTCGCACACACTCCTGGGTGTGTGCATGTGTGTATTTTATAGATGTACAGAAGTGTGTATGTATGTGTATGTGTATATATATTTATATACACACATACACACAAGTGTGTGTATATACCTACACTTACATGTAGGAGTATAGATATAGAGCTATATATATATATATGTATATATGTAAAATCACTTTCAGGAACAATTGTAAACTTTATTATTACAAAATGAGTAAGCTTAGCTTGTGTCCAAAGCTGACTACATTAGAATAAAATGATCTAAGGTCTGTAGGCTTTAAAGACAGTATGTACTGTATGTGCATAATGCTTTGTGAATATTTAGATTAATTTTATTAAAATATTATTCTGCTTCAAATGTTGTGTTTATTTTAGCAGGAAATTACCTTTTTATTACTGCTTTCAAATATTTTTAAATGTTCATATGGTTTTCAAATCTTATAGCTTTATTGTGAAATTCCTCTAGGATGACAACTCATTACGGAAAAACATGTAATCCAGTTAGAGAGGGAGCACTTAAATTTTACCTAAAACCAACCTAAACCCTCTGTCCTAAGTCAGTGCTACAGAAAGATGCAATAGTGGCTGTCCCTCACGTAGATACATTCCTTGTATGCTGGAGTCAGAATGAAACAAGACACTTTAGTCATATACAGCTGGTAGATAAACCCAAGATGGGTGAATCTTTCCTCATATAAGTGTGAGTGTTGAGCTACTGAGCACAGCTCTGCTTTGCCTTTGCCTTTAAGGGTACCAAAATGAATTAAGTCAATGCCTTTGTCACTGAAAAGATAAAACAACGCTTCCTATAGAGGATCAAATTTTCTACTGCCTCATACTACTTTCGATTGTTGAAAGGTCCAAATGCTACAACAGGCTGACTGTTCTATACAGCGACAGGAGAGCTGCACTGCTCAGTGCCTTGCACGATCAGATCCTGGATGCAGGAAAATTAATCCACAGATGACAGAGGTTTATGTCCAAAAAGGAGACAGAAGAGTTGTGCAACTTTATTTGAATAAAGGGAGGAAGAAAGTCCACTGGGGCACACACCTGCAGGGTTTTCTCTCTCTCTCGGTTTTGGAGGGGGCAGCCCTTTAATCCTGAACTCTCGGCTCCACGTCGCCCTCTTCCTTTCCCCACTGGCTGAGGTACTAGGAAGGTACAGCCTTCCTGAACTGCCTACCACATATCCCCCCTTGAATCTGTCATTTTACCCCAAAGTTCAGAAACTCGGGCTTGTAAGGACCCTGCCTGTTTCAGGAGCCAAGCTGTCTGGGCTCTGCAACAAATTTGTTGCTTGAAGTGGGTAAAGACATAAGACCCATTTCTAAGACGTTAACACCCACACCTTCACCCATCAAATTGTTTATAAAGACATCAGCACACACCTTTCCTCCCACTAGTCAGAATCTCTGCCTGCATATACTCCATTGAAACAGGAGTGCTGGATAACAAATACCTTCTAGGAGGTTTTGTTGTTTGGATTTTTTTAAATAGCAAGGGTTAACGACTTCTGCTCTATCTCAGCCTGGTAACTAATACTCATATCTGTTACAAGAAACAAGTTAGCACATTTTCTAAAAAGGCATTTGTGGTTATGCTACATTCTAAGAAGTCTGGTATAAATGAAAAATAAATTTAATTTAAAAATATAATGCATGAGCATTGCTTTACAAAAGGCCTTTTGTCCAATTGTATCACTTGTTATTTCTCATTACTGCAAAGAGATTGAGCGAAACAGGTGGCCTGGGGAAGGAGCATTGGGGAATAGGAAGAATGACAACCACTGCAGTCAGTCTAAGTGAAGGAAAAGCTCCACTTCTTACTCCATTTTTGGCTCAAAGAGACTTTGTTCCTTCCTTTGTCCTTGTACCAAGAAAAAAATTCAAATGGGTACAAATAAGGAAGACTTTATAAAGTTATAGAAATTTGAAGCTCCCTGACAAGGAATGCAGAAAAGATGAAAGTCTAGTTGCAACACTCTAGTTGCCCCTTCCTTGCCACAGAAAGATCTTCCTTCTCAGCTAACTTCTTTTCTTGCTGAAGTTCAATGAAGTACACGAAGACCCACTGCTTCAACCATTTTTTCTTCCAGAAACAGGTAAAAACCATTGAGTTTGGAAATGTGCTAATTTTCTAAACAGAAAAAATTGTCCCTTTTATTTGCAGGTGATTTTGTTGAGGGTTTTTGTGTTGGGTTTTTTTTTTTATGGGGCAGGCCTCCCTATAAGTCCAGTCTGGTTTTCACTTGATAGAAATGAGTCTGCATTATCCAAATCAAAGTGGGAATAACGTTAAGGGTTGTATACCAACACAGCTTTAACATATCCATAGAAGCTTTCAGAACTTTTCAGGAGCAAGTTTTGGGTTTGCTTGAACTTAGGAACACTTGGCTACGTATATTAAAAACCTGTAGCTAAAAATACATGTAAATTATAAGCTATAGATACAGAGAAGTCTCCTGGAAACTCAGGAATAGCTAAAGCAGCTGAAGTACAAAAGCAATGTTGACAATCACTTCAAATGTGAGAGGTGAGACTGTACAGATTAGCAGAGCTCTTAATGAAGTTCATTGGCTCCTAGCAGTTACAGGTGTAGTTCAACATTTAAAGCAAAGGAGAGATTGTGATGCTTTTTGATAGTTAAGCAGCTTGAACTATTTGGATGTGCACAGGCACAGATTTACAGTAATACACAGTAGTCGTGTCTTGACAGGCCCAACTCTGCTGTTTCCTGGAAGCATACTGCATGTCTCTTTCCTTCCACGTTCCCATGCTGTTCACTTTGCAAATGCATTTTCTGGTCTCCCGCCTCACTGTTGGCTGTCCACAGATGAACCTCTCTTCCCTTTTCCTGCTGTAGATTGTGTCCTAGCAATTTCGTTTCTCTGGTGAGCACTCATCAAATCTTCTGTCTCATTCACCAGAATCATAAGTAACATACAAAGAGCTGAAATGCACTTCTTGGCATGGCCTCTGGCTGCCTGATGAGGTGGAGCAACTGGAGTCTTGCCCCTGATAAATTGTATGTCCTCTCATTGGAGCTGCTCTAAAATGCTGAACACAAATAGAATTGTAGGAGATTGCAACACCAGCACAGCAGAAGGAGCGATTCCACGAATACCACACCTGCAGAACAGCACCCCTGATTTTTCTATCCTCTCTGTTAAATATTCTTACACTGTGAACACAGTGTAAGAAAGTACACTGCACGGTGCAGTGCAGTGATGTGCTGTGCAGAGCTGTGCTGTGCAGTGTGATGGTGGGCTCTGCAGTGCAATGATGTGCACTGATGTGCAGTGAGCTGCTGTGCCGTGCTCTGCGGTGCAGTGCTGCGTGCTGATGTGCTGTGCGGTGATGTGCGGTGATGTGCGGTGATGTGCTGTGCAGTGATGTGCTGTGCGGTGCTGTGCGGTGCTGTGCGGTGATGTGCGGTGCTGTGCGGTGATGTGCTGTGCGGTGCTGTGCGGTGATGTGCGGTGCTGTGCGGTGATGTGCTGTGCGGTGCCGCACCCTTCGCAGCTTGCCCACGTCCCGCCTTCCCCGCTGCGCCCCGGCCGAGCAGGGAAGGGCAGCGTCTGTTCTGTAGCGGGGCCGGGGGGTGGCACTGCGCAGCCTTTGTGTCAGCGAGGGGAAGGCCGAGTGCTCATCCCTGCCCTGCCAGAGCGACTGCTATGAACCCTGACACTAATTTCAATCACATCTGAAAGGGACAAAGGTCTCAGAAATCAGTGTAAACGTCCAGGAGAGCCATAGAGTCAGGGTAATTGATTTATTTACAGTTTTGCCTTGCACAGAAAGATGTTTGGTGGCAAATTCACAAGGCCAGCACCATGACTATCTACATTTTTTTACGTTAGCCGACAAAGGCATTTACACTCATTAGCTACAAGTTACACAGTTTTTCATATTAATTAGTATTCTTTCTTCTATTGGTTAAATGATTCCCTCTCTTTTTATGCTTATTAGTCCACATGCCCAGCCTTTCTCTTCCTCTGAGCCAGTGGTTTCCTGGATCGATGGTCTCTGAATCGGTGGTCACAATCTCCTCCTGCCAGAATTACTTTCTATCCAGTCAGAGCCGATCTCAGCACAATTGCCGAGCTGTCGTCATTAGCTTTTTCCTTACCTTGGGAGATCTGCTAAATGTCCTTGAGGCCCATAAATTCTGTGTTCTTTGTGTCTGCTGTCAGTGATCCATCCTTGTTCCCAGGCTTTGTTAACCTCCCCCTAGGTCTGAGATGGTTGAAACATGCCAGGCCAAAGACCTTAATAAGGCAATTCTACCAGCAAGTAATTTATCTTTCTAACACCCGGGTATCACTGGGGTTGGATCTCCCCTGACCCTTTCCTCCAGGCTTTATAAATGCAGTTCTTTCAAACGTGTGCCACATTCCCCAAGCCTGTTGGCCATTGGAGTCTCCAATTTTTTCAGTCTCTCGAACTGTCCCGGACCGAAACTGAGCACAGTAATCCAGACACACTGTTTATCATTTTGCCTCGCCTCAGAATCACACTGAGGTTCCCCAAACCCCCGCAGTGGAAACCAGGACTGCTTCTGAAGGACAGTGACATGTACGGTATGGGTGAAACCTCATTTCAGGGAGAGACTCCCAACAGCCTCAGACACCAACCAAGCACCTCAATGCTGCCACTGCGTGCCCGGGCAGCAGCCAGCGCCCAAACTCAGATACGCTGTGAGCAGCCCGGGAAGCTCTTGAGCTGGAAAGTGAAAGAAGTGTTTTCCTTTCCGATTGGGATTTTCAGCTCACGGTTACTGTCAAAGGTTTCGTAACAAGGTTTCGTTTTCAGCACTGAGGAGTGGCACTGAGTGCTGCCACCCTGCCCCGCCGAGCCCTGTCCCGGGGGCCGGGCCCTCACGCACCACCCTCCAAGCGAAGCTGAAAGCGGTCCGGTGCTGAGCGGAGGGTTCGCGGCCGCGCTGCTCGCCAGGCCCGGGAGCAGCCCCCATCGGCGGCCCCCGGGAGCCCCGAGTGCGGCCATGGCAGAGGGCACCCGGGACGAGCTGTTCCTCTACATGATCTCCTGCTTCAGGCCGCGGCTGAAGCGGTTCATCCAGGTGCAGCCCGTGCTGGACCGGCTGCCGGCGCTGAGCGCGGAGGACAGGGACAGGGTGCGAGCGGCCGCCCAGCAGCGGGGCGCGGCGGCGGGCGCCGAGGAGCTGCTGAGGGCCGTGGAGCGGGGGCCCCGCGGCTGCGGCTGGATCCGCGAGTTCCTGCAGGCGCTGGAGCAGGGCGGCTGCGGCCTGGCCGCTTGCTACGCCAACCCCAGCCTGAGCCAGCTGCCCTCGCCGGCAGAGGAGGCCGAGCACGACCTGTGCGTGCAGCTGGTGCAGCTGCTGCACGGCACGCTGGTGGACAGGATGCGCGCCGTGCCGGTGGCCGAGAAGTGCCTGGAGATGGGAATCTTCCAGGACGAGGACATGGATCGGGTGAGTCCGGGCGCAGGCAGTGCCGCACACACTGGCCAGCCCCAGTGGCCGTGGGGCAGGTAGGAAGCCACAACTACAAATGGCACAGTAAATGGAAAAATGAAACCGGAGTTCCCAGGCTTGGGGGAAAAGAGATGATGGGTCCAGGTAAGCCAATGAAGACTCCTGACAGTGGGCCAGCAGGTAGGATGCCAGTTAAGAGCCTGGGAAAGAAAAAATGCCAGGAACAGATGGTTGGACCAAGACAACGTCTTAGTGGAAGAAATGTGTCATCCCTTACTTTACTTATCATTTTGCCACAGACCTGAGGCTCAGAAGATCACTATGGCCCTTGAACCATAACAGGAAGTAGTTATGGTCTATAGAATCCTAAAGAATACTTGAGTTAAAATAAAGCAAGATTTTCTGTCTGCTTTTTTGCTATAGGTTTACTAAGGACTGTCACAGTAGACAGTGAGGTGAGCAGAAATTCCAGTTGGACAGGAAGAAGGAAGTGTGAACCTTGGATGAAAACATTGCCCATTGTTTATTCTGCTTGGTTAAGAATGACTTGCCTGGAATGTGAAACCTACTTGAAAGTTAAAAAATATTGATATCCTGAAACAGTGTTAGAAAAAATTAAAATAATAGTTGCCATAGCAATAAGGGGAAAACTGGTAAACTAAGGGTGGAACTAAGTCACATTTGCATTCTGAACCTTTGCATCCACTTTTGAGGTAGTTTTATGCTCCATCTCAGTTAAATGACTGTAAGATACATAATTTTGTCTTGTGACCATCAGGTGGCAGCAATGATCAGATGCACCCTAATTGTTAGGGAGCCAAGCATGGTAACACAATAGGCAGATGCCGAGGTCTTTCAGGAAGCTACTGCCTCCATTCCCTGGTTATGGGTCCTCGTGTTCCCCCGGGTCACCTTCTTGCTGTTTCTATTTCCATCAAACCATTCATAATCCTGCCAGTTTAAACTCCAGTGGAGTTTAGGCTTTCCTGATGCCTTCCACTTTCCACACGCTTCCTTTTAGTGATGAATCTCAGTCAGGTGTACCCACTGCTATGCCTGCCCATTTCCTTGCATATCAGAATGCGTGATTCTTGAGCCTTGAGAAAATGGCCCTTGAGGCTAAACACCTGTCTAAGGCTGCTTTGCTCTTGGGGTCGTGGTTTTGTTCCCCATATGATCACTTGTCAAGTTCTGCTTGTGACAGTCTTGGGACATTGTTCCATAGCTTCTTTGAGGGCAATAGCCACTTTCTAGAGGCTTAGCTATTGTATTTTTAAGTAGGAGTTGAGATGATGAAGCCAGAGTTTAAGAAGGGAAATGTTCCATTTTATGTATGAGGTTATGTTACAGGTTAACGTAAGCTTTTTAACATGAGCTTTGGTAAACTGTGTGACACCATTTCTCCTTAATCAATGCTACCTATACCCTAAACCAGTCTGAACACCAATTATTATTCCACAATACTAATAATTATTATATAGTGGTTTCTGTTGTAACCATTGTCTAGTACTACCAGTCTCTCCAATTAAATCCCAGATCTCATAGGTTTTATATATCCTACCCAAAACCATATGGAATCAACATGAGATTGGACAAAATTGCAATAATTCTCTTCTGCTGAGTGGCGGGTCCACTTTATATCTTTATTTTTCAGTATATTTTAATGATGATAGGGAAATGCTTTTGCACCTATAATATTCTTAAGAACTTCCTCAGACCATTTTCGAA